AGGAAGGAAGATAGGAAGGAAGGGAGGGAGGGAGGAAGGGAAGAAGGAAGATAGGAAGGAAGGAAGGAAGATAGGAAGGAAGGAAGATAGGAAGGGAAGGAGGGAGGGAGAAAGGAAGGAAAGAAGGAAGGAAGGAAGGTAGGGAGGAAGGGAAGAAGGAAGATAGGAAGGAAGGAAGATAGGAAGGGAGGGAGAAAGGAAGATAGGAAGGAAGGAAGGAAGATAGGAGGGAAGGAAGGTAGGGAGGAAGGGAAGAAGGAAGATAGGAAGGAAGGAAGGAAGATAGGAAGGAAAGAAGGAAGGAAGGAAGGAAGATAGGAAGGAAGATAGGAAGGAAGGAAGATAGGGAGGGAAGGAGGGAGGGAGAAAGGAAGGAAGGAAGGAAGGAAAGGAGGAAGGAAGGAAGGGAAGGAGGAAGGGAGAAAGGAAGGAAGGAAGGAAGGAAGGAAGGAAGGAAGGAAGGAAGGAAGGAAGGAAGGGGAATAGCAACAGCAATAATCCTTAAACTTTTATACTGCTTTCACAGCCCTCTCTAAGCAGTTTACAGAGTCAGCCTTTTACCCCCAACAATCTGGGTCCTCATTTTAGCGACCTTGGAAGGATGGAAGCCTGAGAGTCAACCTTGAGCTGCTCAGAATCGAACTCCTGGAGGTGGGCAGAATTAGCCCAGAGTGCTGCATTCTAACCACTGTGCCACCATTTATGACTTTTGCAGGTCAGTAAAGCGAAGCAAAGCAGAACTAGGATCAAAAAACACAGTTGTGGTCTGACTTAGTGCTCCCGTTGCCGGTCCCATCACGGTCAACCAATCAAGGACTACCTGAACTGGATGTGGCTGCTCCTTCACTGGAGGTTTTCAAGAAGAAACTGGACAGCCATTTGACTGGGATGGTTTAGGGTCACCTCCTTGAGCAGTGGGGTAGACTAGAAGATCTCTAAGATCCTTTCCAGCCCTTTGATTCTATGAATCTTGACTAGTCTGGCTATCCTGGCTATGTTTAGAGGTCCATTTTTCTGATTTGTAAAAAATAAATAAAACCCCTATAAATGGGTGAAGAGTGAGTTCCCCCTCCTGCTTACCTCTTGTCAAAAAAGGCTTGGACAATTTTTGACCGAATTGGGTTGAATTCCAAGTCAGGAACACGATCAAAGTTCTCCTTGCTGGAAAACAGAGAGGAAGAAAGTTGGTTAAGAAAAAAAAAAGGGCTGGAAAAATAAAAGTAAAGACTAACAATGTAATTATTATGTATATATGAGTATTTGCGATGCTGTAGCGTTGTGAAGAATGTACATGTGTTATAAACTGTTGAAAAATATTTAATAAAAATTATTGCCAAAAAAAAGAGAGAGTGAAATGAAGATTCTAGCTTCCTCCCAATACCGCCTCAAACCACAAGTTGGGTGACGTATTAATTTAATAAAAAAAATAAACTTCCTGCTTTTAAGTACCCAGGATTCAGCACTTTAAAAAATAGGTAGGTAGGTAGGTAGGTAAGTAGAAAGAAAGAAAGAAAGAAGGAAAGAAGGAAAGAAAGAAAGAAAGAGAGAGAGAAAGAAAGAAAGACAGACAGATAGATATAGATGGAGACAGGGAGATATATATATATATATGGATGGATGGAGACAGGGAGAGATAGAGATAGATATGGATGGATGGATGGATAGGATTGATAGGATTGATTAATTGATTGATTATAGGATGGAAGGTCAATAGATAATAAATACAAAGAACAAAATGTTTTCTGCAGAGGCAGAAAACCTGTCCAGATGTTGCTAAACTACAATTCCCAGCAGCCTTATTATGGCTGAAGCCATCAACTCCCAGAATCCCCTAGCCAGCCATGAATTCTGGGAGTTGAAGTCCATACGTGTTAAAGTCCCTGAAACTGAGAAATACAGTACTACAATCCTACAATTCAGTTAAACTAGGATTAAATCATATCAGGCATTTTACAATTCAGCCTAGTAAACCCACCCATAATTCCAGCTGCTTGTGCTATCTGGTCCACTTTAAGGTTCATCCAATGCCATGCTGGCCCCACATCACGTCAGGGGAACATGTGTCTTTTATTAAAGACATTAATAATTAATGGATTAAGTGTTTTGGCTCAACCAGCCACTATATCCTAATTCTAGGCAACCATTTTGTTTCTAACTTTGTAGTAGAGATTGATTTCTTGTGGTGGCCACGAATTCTCAGCCCTACCCTATTCTTAAGTTATTGGGAGGTGGGGTCAGTTCTGCACCCCGCCCCAAATTATTTCTGGTTTGTTTTGACCTCCGAGGGAGAAAGTGTCAGACGATTGGGAGTGTGTTTGTGTGTTTGTGTTGCCAGGGGTGAAATCTTACGCTTAGCTTCACTGCTAACAGAACACTTTGCCAATATCCACAAAATGGGATTCTTTCTTTGTTTTTGTTTTTTCCCAGTTTTAGTTTATTCCTCCTTGGCAAAAAAAGAAAAAAGAAAAAGAGTTTATGGTTCTTCCTTGAGGCCTGAAAATTCTGGGAAAAAATGACATTTTGCTGTCTCTCTCTCCCCTCCCATCCCGGCAAGTTTAATCTGTAGCTACCAAGCTTCAAATTTTGGACCTGGACAACCTAGAACTACGCCGACTACGGTCTGATCTAAGCTTAGTACACAAAATTGTCTGCTACAACGTCCTACCTATCAATTACTTCTTCAGCTTCAACCGCAGTAACACACGGGCAAATAATAGGTACAAACTCAATGTAAACCGCTCCAAACTCGATTGCAGAAAATACGACTTGAGCAACAGAGTGGTCAATGCCTGGAACTCCCTATCTGACTCTGTTGTTACATCCTCAACCCCCCACAAAACGTTAACCTTAGACTATCTACTGTAACCTTACCCCATTCCTAAGAGGTCTGTAAGGGGGCGTGCATAAATGCACCAGCGTGCCTACCGTCCCTATCCTACTGTTCCCATTTATTCATACTCATTTATTATGTATATACTTATACCTGTTCACACTTATATGTTTATATGTTATGTTCATACTTGTTTTCTCATACATGCTTGACAAATTAAATAGAATTCTTGATTGGCCAAGTGTGATTGGACACACAAGGAATTTATCTTGGTGCATATGCTCTCAATGTACATAAAAGAAAAGATACATTTGTCAAGAATTTTAAGGTACAACAATTTATAATACATAGGG